GCCTTCCTTGCCCTATTTCTTACTCCTGGGGATTGCTAACTATTGCACCCTGTAAAAGACATCCTTAAAAGTATACCAGCTCAGTTCCAGCTAGCTCATTGTCCCTGAGGGCAGTATCCCAGGGATCCCACTGACTATCTCCTTGAAAAACTTAAATTCTGCTTTCCTAAAGTTCAGGGGTCTAACCTTACTCCTTACTTCACCCATATTCCTACAGACAGCAAAATCCACCAGTGGCCCAGACTGCCTCCAATCTTGATATCCCCAGCTAGCTCCCTGGTTACCAGCAGATTCAGTAACACATCCCCTCTGGTAGGACTATTACCTGGCTCAAAAGGTTATAATGATGCCCATATCACTCCCGGGAGAAAAAGATGGTTTAGAACACTGTCAGAACACTGTCATTCCTTCATTGTGTGGAAATCTACTACAGTCCATGTGTTTTATTTGATCTGTATCTGTACGAAAGTGGTAATAATCAAATGTGTCAAACATACCAGGTTTTGCCATCAGAGGAAAAGAAAGCAAACACTGTGTAGACATAGAAGAAGCATTTAACAGAGGCTGGTGCACAGTGAAAGCTTTAATATTTGCCATTTCTCTCATTCTCTACTACAGTTAGATACCTCCTCTGCTGCTGACAGCTCCATTCTTCATAGCCACAGAATCAGATTGGAGAAGATGCTGTAGATTCACGAGCCCACCTAAAGCTATGCCGTGCTGTTCTGAGATGTGTGCACGGTTACAGAGGTTAAGTAAACCTGCTCTCAGACATGCAAAGCTGATGGGAGCTCAGCAACATTTAGTTGCAGACATTGGGATGTTCAAAAGTAAAAGTACTTTCTAATTTTAGAATTGGCAGTGGTTTTAGATCACACTGATTATATTGCACTGTCTTGAGGTCATCTACCCTTAGTTCTAACTCCAGACTTTCACATCTCATAAAATACATCCAAATTCTAGTTTGGCTTTTCTCATCTTCTCCCTACATAACCTTGAATATCCTTATAGTCCTCGCAAGTTACCTGACCCTTGTTCCAGAGATGATAGATTCTCTTTTTTTCCCCTAAATTCCAGCCCAAATTCTCTGTTTAATCAGGCTGGTATTTTTCCCTGATGACTCGTCTTTCTACAGTTGAGGGCAGCCTGGTCCTAAATATTTTAAAATTCCTTTTTAAAGTACATCCAGCCTTTCCAAACTCCTATGCACTTCAGAACTGAATACTGATCTGAAGGGACTACTGAGGAGACTCTGTCAATAAGTCTCCTAAACAGGCCAAAGTCTGCTCATTGGAAGTCCAAGGTGGAAGTTCTGCTAATACGTCTCCTTATTCCACCCAGTACTGAAACTCTAACATTTCCTGGCCACTATGTCCAAGATAACTACTGACTACCAAATCACCCACCAAACAACAGGTCTAGCAGTACACTTTCTCTGGAAGGCTCATTTACTAGTTGTGTTAATAAGTTGTCTTCCATACACTCCAGTAACTTCCTAGATTGTTTCCTCTTTGCTGTGTTGTGCTTCCAGAAGACATCTGGCAAGTTGAAGTCACCCATGAATACAAGGGTCAACAATCATGAGACTTCAGCCAGCTGCTTGTAAAATGCCTCCTCTCTTGTTCATCCTGGTTGAACGGAATATAACAACTCTCACCACCATGATGTCCACCCTGCTGACCTTCCCCCTGATCTTTGCCCACAGGCACATGCAGTTTCACCCCACCACATTTCCAGCTTTGCCTGTGTCTCCTAAAGGACTTACAGGAATCCAGTGCAGCACTCCAGTCATGAGAGTCATCCCAGCATATTTCCATGATAGCAAATACATAACTTTCCTGTTGTACAATGGCTCCCAGCTTCTTGTGCTTGCTGCTCATACTGTGTGCATTGGTGTAGATGCACTTCAGCTGGGCTAATGGTTTTGCCTCCGTAAGAAGCCTGCTACCTCTAGACTGATCTCTAGTAGCCTGGTCTTATCCCTTTCCCCCTCTGAGCATGGTTTATTACCTCTCAATCAGCCCTGCTAATTCCTGGGCCATAGTTTCTGTAAGTCTGTCTTGGCTGAGTTAAGAAAATATCCATGGGGCAGGTGTGCTGTAAAAATTTGCCCTGTATTGTAAGTGAAGTGGCTTTGTTGAAGATAATTATCACCTCACAGTGTAACACTAAATGAGATATCTCAGGTTGGTTGAGAATTTAGCCATACTGACATTTCAGGATTCAGCAGTGTACATAAAATTCCTAGTATTGACAGGATGGAGTGAGAAGATGCTATCAGACTTATGTTATACTAGCTCTAGTCTACAAAAAAAAAAATGTCTTACATGGAGGAAACAGTAAATACCTCTATTCTCTCATTTTTCAAAGACTAAGAAGGAATGGTAGTTTTCTCAATCACTGCAAAAATATTTTTTAAAGAAACCATCTCAAAACTCAGGAGAGGAAGAGAGAAAATAACTGATTTTTCTGAAATAAGAAAATTTTTATAACAGAAAAAGAAAAACAGATGGCATTTTAACAACTATTTTGGCAAAGGTCTCAATGTAGTATATGAAAAGCTGACATGATCTTATTTACAGATTTTCTTTGTTCCTTTGACTACAGTTAGAAGAAAATATTTCATAAAATGCATTCTACTTTCATTTTAATTGTTAGCAAGCAAAGTTGTCTGAAAACAGCTTTATACATACAGCTTATATACAACATGTACAGAAGCACACTGACACTTCTAAAATGTGTACATTGGGTTAGCAACATGCCTAGTAAAGCTTCCAACAGATTAACTAATTCCCCCACACCATGCTACAAGAATTTGAAAGGACCTATATAAAATTTAGTTAACTTACTTGAAACAGACTTTGAATATTAGGTCTGGGAAATAATGAAGCAAAACCATCCTGATTTCCTGACAAGAAGGAGTTATAGTCTACCTCTGAACACCTTCCCCTTACAATATAAAGGAACAGACTGTAGCTTTCCATTCTGCCAGAAAGCTGGTTTCATACTGTTCACACCACACACAGCAGTTTAAGACATTGTTTGGAGAGCATGAAACAAACAGAAGCATCACATCTTCTACAAATTCCTATGAATTAGATTATTATTTTTCCAGTAGGGAAAAATATCATCTGGTAATGTCCACATCAGAAAAATTAATTTAGGAAATAAAAACTGTAATGGATTTCAAAGTTCTGTGAAAGGCTATGCAGTGTAGAAAGATTGTCAAGCAAAATAAGGAGCATGGTACCACAAAAAACCCAGCAGAAATAAACAGAAAACTTGATCACAGTCAATGATAAACATCAAGAATTGACAAAGGAAGACTTTTAGCATTAGTGCTTTGCAGGTGTAAAATATTTGTGAGTGAAAAGCACTCGAGACTGATCAGAAGAGCAGACTCCAAAGCTTTGTCTGGCATCCAGGAAGAATTAGTGATATAAAATTTAGAAGTAGTTCTGAGAACATGTGGCCTCACACAAAACAAAGGCATGAAGAAAGAGAAGAGGCAAAATTAAGAAAAAGGAGGTTGAAGCAGCGTCAAGCAGTTATGGATGTGTCCTCGCTCCAGCCAGAAAAGGGTTCATTTCTGCAGTAGTCAGGAGGGACATGACCAGGACCCCAAGGTTACTCTATACTACCTCATGCCAAAGAAAGGGGCAGGGGAGGGATGGGTTCCTTCCAGTCAGGCCAATGGCAAAGTGAGTGGTCCGGGTCGTGCTAAGTTCCCTGTGGTAAGTGATTGCATGTGAATCTTTCACTTCTTAATAATTTTTAAAACACTCTCTTATGAATATTGTTGCTATTGTTTGTTGCTTATTTCATTGCTGTTTCTAGCAAATTTTTACCATCTTAACCCTTGATATGAACCTTTTGTGCCTCAAATTTCTCCTCCCCATCCCACAGCAGGGATTCTAAACCATTCCACATAGATTTACAAGTTCATGTTAATCAGCTCCTCTGTATAAATAGAGAGGAGCCACTCCTCCAATAAATAATTCTAAGGAGCCACTGAAGTCACGGGGCAACTGCAACCAGCTCGTGTAGGCCATATGGAGCCAGTCTAAACTGAACTTAATAAGTTTTCTCATTTGAATGCTGCATACCACTTTAACTACATTATATTCTCCTATAGATCTCACTGGCTGGTTGACATTAAGAACTTCAATCTGTTACTTTCCCTATTGAGTGGTTACAACCAGGGATTTTTTATTTTTCCAGGTAATTAGCTAGAACACTTACAGTTTACATCAATATAAGTTCTCATTTCTTTAAAAATTTGTGTACGGATATAACTAGTCTTGAAGAAAGAGGAATTTCAAAAGAAATTTTGAACTTCAAGTGGTTCAGAGAGTTACAAACAGAACTAAATATGTGCAAGTGTATTATCAAGGGCAAAGGGAACAATGAACTGATACACTGCATTAGCACTTCAGCTTTTGAAATTATAAGACTAGCAACTAATTCCGAAGTCCAATCTAAATTTCTAGTGTACTCTCTAGTATTCACCTTACAGAAGTCACTGCAGAAGTACAGGATACAGTGTTGTGACAGAGACAGATCTGTGCTGGAGCAGTTCCACCCAACTGTAAAGAAAAACATACTTAAAATTACATTTGGCTCATGAACTGACCATAAAAAACTACTTCCACAAGATGCCTTTGTCTGCTATTACTGCCCCTTCTAAGAAAGACACTGTGAGCACCTTCCCTCTGGAGCTCAAACATGAAAGCTAACCTCTCACCTGGCTTGGGAATGATTATTTGTCAGATTCAATGCCACTGTATAAAGGGGGATTCAACTCTGACACCCCCCTTCAAACTTTTATATGAACAGCCTTTTATAAGTAGTGGCAATAAGCTTCATTCATTGTGTCTATCTGACTACCCGTGCTAACATGTGAGCTGATTAAAGAAAAAATAAATTAAAAATAAAAGTTTAATGGACTCCAAAATGCCTAACAGTCTTAATAAGCAAAGCTAGCACACACACCACAGAGCTAAAGTCATGCAAAATCTATTAAAGCAAAACATAAGCCTGGATCAATATTCAGTTAAAAATACATCTTTTCATATCAGAAAATTTATACTTTTTAAAGCAATACTTTTTATCAGATACACTGCTTTCCTTTATGTTAAACATATATCAGCATCTCCTTTAAAGTACAATATTGTCAGTCAGTTTAGTTTTGACAATAAAACATATTCTTCACTTCTAAGAGTCAGACAATGTGAAACAACCTCAGATTAGCCAGAATTTAACAGAGCCTCTCTTCTGAGGACTGTCTAAAAACAAGAGCCAAAAGTGACTTACAAGCTGCAAAGGAAAAGTTCAGATTTGTTTCAGAGTCAAAAATCACACTCATTTGATCATAATGACATTTCTTGTTTCAAGTTGTGCCCATTCAGTTGTGTCATGGTAGTTACTGTGTTCCTGGTATTGCTTTTCAGGGAAGTCATTTGAATGGCAGAAGAGTTGCACAAGTAGCTGGCAGATCTCTCTTTCTGAGCTTTCTTCCTGCAGCGGAGCTGGTTGTTGAAATGTCTTCTAAAACTCTCACTGAGGAAATACAGTGCAAATGGGTTGACACAAGAGTTGCAGAAGCTTAGCACTCGGGCCACTAAGGTAACAACCATATGTCCCATTGATGGATCAATCTTATCATAATTAAAAGATCTGTACATGTATAGCACATGGTTAGGAAACCAGCAGATAGCAAAGAAGCCAACAAAAACTAAAACAATTTTTGCCAGACGCTTCCGAGTTTCCATCTAAAAAGATGAAGAGAACACAAATGAACAACAAGGAATAGAACTACCCCACATAACAGACTTAATTAAAATATGCAGCATTTTGCTGTATTAGCTTCAGCAATTGTCATGAGTAAGGCCAGGAAAAATTCTTCCTTCAGGTCCTGAATTACTTTTGCTATCGCATTTACTTTCCTTTTCCTCTTTCAGTGAACTTTCTTAGCTGCTTGCAGTTACAGAAGGTTGCTCTTTCTATATGATACACACAGCAAGAGAGATTCATGACCCAAGGAAGCACTCACTGACTTTTAACCTGTACATGCACCAAAGGATGTTATGAAACATAACCTTTTCTGATAAGATCTCAGTGCTTGCTCAAAACTTAAGTTTTAGTTAAAAGGCTATTTAGAAATAGTTTCTGGCTTCAAAATCTAGAGATACCATGAGATAGACATTACTAAGGTGTTAGCTATACAGTGCTACTTACATCCCTTTGTTTTTCACTGAGGGCCTCAGCTTGCACCTCTCTCCTTGGGAAACCACCAAAATTGTATTACACCATCCAAAGCATCTTAATTCCAGGGTAAGGTGAAACGTTCCATTAATTGCAATAAGATCACAAAATGTATCTTAATTGCAGTGCTAAGGTATAACAGATTTCATTGCAGATACTGAGAGTGGCTGAAAAAATGGCAGGATAGGAGCCTACACAGAGGTTCCAAACTGAGAGGAGATAAACTGGCCAGGTAGAAGTCACTAAAGAGAGGCAGAAAATTTCCCCATACTCCTTCTAAAAGAATTGTTATTTATGTCAGGCATGAAAATTTTGCCGAGGAAGGAAAGTTTTCTACTCTGCTCAATTTTCTGGGGAAAAAAAAAAACAAGTGAATTTATTCTAACATTTTTTCAAAACCTGCAAAATTAATCTTGAAATATTCTTGGGTCTATCTAAACAAAAAAACTGGGGAAATCAAAAAAGATGGAAAACTTTAACATTCAGATTTGATAGTATTTGCACTCAGATTGCAACAGCAGACTAAAAGGTGCAGAAGTATAATATGAATATTATACTTGGCTTAAAGAAACATGAGCTGATAGCAATAGTCTGAATTTATTTCCTCTTGCTGGGAGATATGTATGTTCACCAGAATTTTCTATTCTTCAGAGCCTCATAGATTAACAAAGAGAAAAAAAAAACTAAGTAGAATGAAAAAATGTGTTCTTACTTCGAAAATACATGTGAGTTCAGAAATGTGGTATAAATTAAATATTGTTTCCATCCAGAGGGTTCAGCCAAAAGGCTCTCTATATTTCACAGGGAAATAAAATAATACATGAAGTGCTAATATGTATGCACTTTTGACAAGAAACAGACTAGAGCAGAAATGAAATGCTGCTCAAAATGTAAAGGAATGTAGTCTTTGTAAAAGAATGTGTGCATGCAAATAGATTTCTGAGAGTATGCAAGTAGTTTTCTAAATTACTGGTAGAGAAAACAATTCAAAACTGTTTAAATTGCATAAGTATTTTTATCTATCAGTACTAATGCTTTTTTAAAGCAGCTGAGGCACTTTCACTGCAAAAGCTGTTGTTTGTACATATGTGTACTCCTGCTAATGTTACTATCGTATTGCTTCCTGTGCCTTACGGGGAAGATTGGCTTTGTACAGCATTTTAAAATGCTTTGTCTCAAAGATATACAGAATCTATACCAAGAGTTTTATAGCATCTCTAACAGAAAGGATACTAGAAAAGTACAAGTTTAGGATTGCATCCAAGAAAGTTAAAAAAAAAAAAAAAAATCAGTTAATGCTCTATGTTCACATTTCCAGCACTCCTTCATCTGAAAACAATCTCAGATCCCCTAAGGAAAGTTTTCCCTGCCTATGTAAGTATTCTCATTTCCAAGCACAAAAGGACAATTCTCAAAACATTCATGTAAGGTTTCTTTCCTAAAATGACTGCCTATAGAGACAGGTGAAGCCACCATCACTAACCATGAAAACATCAGTTCTCAGTAAGAATACAAGTAATGTGACAGTAACAGCACATACAAACATATATACTAATCTCATTTGCTGTTAGAAATGTGCATTCATGGCAGTGGATTTATAATTTTCCTTGTTCATATTCATTTACATACTGGGCTTAATATTGAGTAAGCATGAAAACAAGGAAAATCTTGAGATAATCCTTGGTTTATTTCATGTGGAAACTGAACTAATACTCTGCAAAATCCAACAATTTGGATGCTATAATTCCTTTACTTTCATTTAGAAGTGTACACAGCACACAGATCTTTTACCAGGATGTAAAAAGCAAATTACTTACCTGTCTTTTGGAATGTTCACTCTGCTCCCCAGGGATGTTGTGAGCACTTTTTATTAAACTCTTTGCAATATGATAGTAGTAGATACTGATAATTACAAGAGGGACAAGGAAATACACAAGGAAAAGCAGCACAGAGTGGATCTTCGGATGCATGTCATCTGTCATGGGGTATGGTATGCATGCTGTGAAAGTGGCATTATCTGTGTCATTGATGTGAGCCAGTTCGGAGAACACTGCTTCAGGAATTGCCAGGAGCATGGAGATTACCCAGATGGCAGTGGCTTTGAGACAGGTCCATAGCACTGCACTGGAGGTCTGGATATCCATGGGATTTACAATTGCTTTATACCTGAAATTGACCAAAATGCAGATACAAATTAAAAGTTATTCAAATTCAACATGCAATTCACAAGCATACTTCACATCTTTGATTAAAATAATGTCATTTTTTTTCTTATTTGAAATGTCAAGGGGCTGGTAATCTAACTTGCACTCTCTAAATCTCCACCTTTTTTTGTATACATTCATCAGAGGAGGGAGAAGGAGACCTGGATACAACCTGTGCCTGTAGGTGTGCATTCTGTGCCAGTGTGGTGAAAGTGAATCAGCCATGGCTCTTTGCTTCTCCAAATACCTTCAGCAAATCTCCACGTGTGCATCTACCTCCATACTCCACATACAGCAGCACATGGACACCTAGTATTTCCTTCTTTCTTTCCTCAGCTCCTGAAGCCCAGGGCTCCCTCTTGCTTCCACCAGAACTTTCCCACTCTAGGACACTCCCAGCCCCCCTCAAATAATATCTGCATCTTTGTAAAGTCAAGCAAGGACCTGTGCAGAAAGTATTAAATGCTTACATAAAGTAAACATTTCCACATCAATAGTTGGAAGCTGCTGCTCTATACACTGCATTTTGCAAAACTGTCTCCTAATATATGACTGCATATAAACCTTTCTGGAACTGATAATTTCATAGCCCCTGCAATGGAAACAGGAAGAATTGAGGAGAATGGAAATATCTATCTAGAGTAAAATAAAATAAATTAATAGAAGTAGACTTTGGTCAGGAATTCTTTTATAAAAAAAAAAAAATCACTGCAGAAGGTGATATAAAGTCAAACTTTCCACAAGAAAATGTTATAAGAACAAATAGAATTTGAGAAAAATATTTCAAGGATACCTTAAAGTTCCACTTAGATTTTTAATTTATTTAAATTTTTTTAATGTAAGTAAATTATGCTTTAATGTTTTTATTAAAAACTAAATTTTAAACAAAACATTTCATTTTGTCTAAGCTGTGACAATATGGGAGCTCATGAGATTTTTCTTAAGTGCATTAATTTTTTTGTTTCTACTTTCAATTTGATTTGGGATGGCTGTGATTTTTTCTGAAAGAGCGCACATTTTGAGAAATTGAAAGAATTAATCTTCTTTAATAGTCAAGAAAAAGTTTAACAGGATAAGGGGAGTCAGGAGAGATTCATACTCCCAAGTACATAACTTTGTTCATCCTCAGGTGTTTGTAGTCTCTGGAGAAGTATGAATCACTTTCAAAAAGTGATTCAGATTTTATGTATATTAAATCACCCTCTAGTTGGCTTGGTTTTTTTCTCTGTTAGATACATAATGAGCTTAGATTAAGGAGGACAGTAAGTTAGAAGCCTCTACTTTGTGATAAAATTCCATATCCATGTATGTAGATAGATATACATGATGCACAAATATGTACGGGTATGAGCAATTGTCTAAATACTTCCCAAGGATTAGTTTATACTCAAATATAATGTGGTTGCTGAAGGGAATGCTGATAAATGGCGCTGTGATCCCATATACCTCTTAGGGCTAATTTGCAGGTCCTGACAGGTAGTTCATAGCCCCTCAACAACTTAAGCAGATGTCTGCAACTGGCTATGCCATGAAAACATCTGGAGCAGAGAACTGTAACAGTACCCAAGGAAGCCTTTTCTTCAGAGAATATGTGAGTCAAAATGTGCTTTGGAGTTGTCTTTCTCAGGTGTGTGATAAATTGTTTGATCATTAAATAACTAAAAAAAAAGCGATAAAAATGCACATACCCTCTAAAAACACACAAAATCACAGAAAATTTACAATATATTCACACCCATAACAGAGAAGAAAAAAAAAAACAGCAAACTGTCTCTGATAATTTATATTTACCATTTCTCCTAAGACGCAGTGAGAAACTCCCTGGACACCAAGGTGTAAAGAAAGTCTTTATATTACCACAGGAAGGACAGAAGTTTCTGCACAAAGCATGAATACTCCCCAGCACAAACTGTGACGTTATTATTCAATAATTGCTTCCTATTGCTGTCTCTCTTTATTTCATTACAAAAAGACAGACCCTCTATTTTTGAGGAGACGTCAAGTCCTTACATCTGCTCATTTTTTAAAAAGTTTGCATTCTTAGGGAAGAGCTGGTTTGGGGATTTTGGGGTAGGTTGAGGAAATTGGGTAAAAATTAAGTTTTGTAGTACAGCTTTTTTTCCTCTCCTTTTCCATTCCATCACTTCAAAATATTTTGACCACAGTCCTATGACCCAAGTAAATGACCATGTCACAAATAATTGTTTTAGCAGCAAACTGGCCTAGTTAATCTCTAAATGGAAGACTTTTTCAGAAGTCTTTACATTAGTAGAAGATGTGACATACATTTGTACTTCAGCATATATTGATGTTTCAGCAAATAGTATGCTTTTCCCTGACCCATAATATACTCCAAGTGGAAAGGCATTGAAGCAGAGTGCCCTTTTTCACAAAACAGCTGAGTTTAGTGCAAAAAAAAAAAGCTTCTTTCATTCAACTTGCTACTTTACTGACTACAAGGTGGCACTCTTCCTACTACTCAGCCTTTCACAGTACTCAGTGTCAAGAAAAATGCACTGTGTTTTACAAAAAGCTTGTCATCTTGTTTATATCTTTTAAAAGCTGTAGAGTGAAAAGAAACAGGTTACAGATAAAATAAAACATAAACTGATTATAATGAAAAGTTCCCAAAGTGAAAAACCAACCTCTTCCTTTGTATAAAACCAGTGTAAGGCTAAAACATGCTACCAACCATTCAAATTACAAACACCATATGTTCCATCAATAAAAACAATGTCAGTAAATTAGACTAATTGTGCAAATTAGTCAAATTAGTAAGTAAATTCATCTTTTCTTTTACTTCACTGATGAAAAAAGAGCACATTATAAGTTGCCAAGAAGTTCAGGAAATAATTATAAATACGCATTTGGTTTTAATTAAAAGCTGTCATGTAAATTCTGTCTTCCTATGTCCTCTATCATTATCCCTGCTGACGAAGAGACCCCCACTCGGAAAGCCCTTCCTATCTTTGGAGCTGTGGTTTCTGCCAACAGACACAAGCACAAACTTACCCACTCTCCTTCAGCAAATTTTTTTTTGTATAGTGTTTTTTTCCATTTAAAAGCAATCTCCTCCCTTCTACACAATCCCAAAATAAATTCATGAAAATATCCTCTTTCTCCAGAGATATAACATTTTGCTACCTTCTAAACTCCAATCTATTTTATTTACTTCTCCTAATCTTTGTTTTCAAAAAGTTATTTCTCAGCTCCAAATTAGAATGGAAAGCTCTACTCCTGTTTCTGCTGCATCCACAATGCTGTTTCCCTCCCACACAGCTGATTTCAAAAGAAGGTGCTCCTTTACTAGACCTATGCTGTCCTTCCTTTGCTTTCCTACCACTTTTTCTAGAGTACTTTGTTGTGATGACCTTAAAAAAACTAAAAAGAAAACCCCCAAACAACTAGTCAATACTTAGGTAGTCACTGGAAAATAGCCTACCATTCTAACTAGATTAGCCTCAATATCTCCTTGCTCTTTTGATTCTGCATGGTGTCTTGTCGTTTTTTAGAAGTCCTTCAGGTCAAGGACTTCCTTCTTGTTGCTGCTTATATAGTACCTACCACAAATAGGACCCTGATTTATCACCTAATTTCCTACATAAAATTCACAATGAAAATAAATATAATGAAGTGTCAGAAGCCAGGCAGAGACACAGTTCAGGCAGGGAAGTTTCACATTACTTTTTTTAAATTTTCATTTTAATCCTGGAGCTGGAGGGCTTGGTATTATTTGCCTCATTATAAATAAGCTTTCTAAAGTGATGTTGTTGTGCAACTGCATTTCCTGCAAACTAGAGTAATTTATCAAAACCATTCATATGGTAGTCTTTTATTGTGTCCCTGCATGGTGCTTTCAAACACAAAAATTTTAACAACATAAGAGCTTATAAGTATATCTGAAAAAGAAACCTGTTTCTATAACCAGTATTTGTTAAAAATACCCGTATCATGTCCACTTGAAGTCCACTCGACTGCAGTAAAATGAAATTTTGGATGGGACCCTTTTCCTTGTATGGGCAGTTCAATTGGCTCAACTCCAGCTGAATCATTAAGAGGACAACAATTTATCTAGCTGAAAACATTGTGGGATCATTTTATCATTTGACTTGAGATGTGCATTGTTCTATTTTTATTTTTATAAAAAATTCTTGAAATGTAAAGTACATTTCTCTCTTTTTTTGGGTAATATCGATATTTTTATTCTGTGCTTATCTTTGGAGAGCAGAGAATTGCATTCACTCAGGAATGAGCATTTCTGAGGTCTGATAGTGAATATAATGAACAGTATTTGAAATGCAGACTAGAAGACCATGTGTAAACACACTTAATGTCAATGTCAATGACATGTGTTCTGTGTTTCTCAGGGGGAAAATCTTAAGATTTTCCTAAGTGGAAAAAGTTTTCCACTCTGTAAAAATACACTCTGCTGAGCCAAAAACTATCAATAACAGTTCAACACTTGTTGATGATTTCTCCACCTTGAAAAGAATCAAACCAGAAGTTTCCCAGGATGGTGGAAGGGTTTTTTTCTGCATGAATTTTATTACCTGTCCTGTCCACCCAGCATCTCAGAGGAGAAATTTTATCTTTCCTTTTAATTTTTTCCTCTATTTCTACTTCTGCTACTTGCTATTTGCCTCACATTAGCTTCTTACAAGCTTGTGCAAATCCTGCAATGCCAGCTCATTGCCTGCAATCTGGACTTTGCTTCTTCAAAGCTATTCATTTATATCTGCACTAGTTAAAAGCACTAGTTAAAGGTACCATAATTAATTTGTTCAATTCTGCTCCTGAAATCAGGATTAGTAAGTTGTTTCAGCAGCTGTTATTCAGAAAAGTTCATATATTTGAATATTTCCAGTAAATTTATATTTAAGTTTGATAATTTCAAGTCACTGATGAACATGTTTTAACACATCTTAAGACAGACTAACACGTCTTCATTAGAGTTGCAGTTTC